ATTTATTGATTTAAAATATAATTCAATAACTTAATCATTAAGAATAAAATTCGTTAGATTTTCTAAAAGAATTCTTTAAAATAATTATTTTAATTAATATAAATATTTCCGAAATTATTAAAAAAACATTTTTAACAAACATTAAGATTGTTGTAATAAAATTAGGAAGACATTACCAAGTTACCAACCTTGTCGTTTGTTAAGAAACAATTACATGTGTCCTTTTTCCTTTCTTTCCTGTGGGTGTTGGTTGAGGGCAATCATGCAACCACGAAATGATTGATTAGATTTCTATAAATAATTTATGTACTTATTAATATATTAATATAAACTAAAAAAGTATTTGTATAATGTAACAAAAGAGTATTTGTATAATGTAACGAGATAAATCTTTATTTTAATATTTAATTTTTATTCTATCGCTATCGATATAATACGATTTTATGTGATTTTAAGAGAGCGATAATGTTTTTATTTTTGAATGAAATATAAATTTGAAAAAAATAAATCGATCGAATAGTTCTCGTTTTTTGTTGTAACAATTTTTTTAAATTTTTTATTATGAGTTAATTTGGATTAAATGATAAAGTAATTTATTTTTGGTATGATAATATAATATTTTATAAAAATAATAATTAAATATTTTGTTAGAACTCAATTATTATTTTAATTATATTTTAGATTTTTTATACTTAAAATGGATGTTATTCTGTATTTGATAATGTTTATCTACTGTTAGTAACACAAATCTAAAAATGGAGCTTTAATAAGTTGTATTTATGCAAAATTACTTGTAATCTAAATTTTAAGTAATATGCATCAATAAACAGTACTTCATGCATAAAAAATGATTTTTAATAGTTTTTTAAATGCTTTATAATACAGTATAGATGTAAAGGTATTAAATATATACTATTACTAATTTTGTTACAAATTTTTATTATTGTATTTTATAGATTTTTTTTTCCTTTCTTTCGGTAATAATCTTCTTCTTTGAAGAAATTACAGATAAAGAAACTCTAATCGTACCGTGCAGAACAAACCAAGAAAAAGATCAAAAGCTGTAAGTATCGATAATCAGAACAATAAATAATCAAGAACGAATTAAAAAACAAAACCCAATTTCAGTTGGAAACAACTTTCAGAACTTATTATTTTGAAAAAAAAAAACCCAGTTGAACAAAATTTGCTTTCGTTTATATTTTTAGGGAACATAAATTTGGCCACTGATAAATGAGAAGTTTTATATGTTGGATATTCAAAATAAAAACGAAAAATAAAATCAGGTTTATTTTTATACAGTTTTCTCTTGATAAAACTATGGAAATAAGACCCCTACAAGTTTATGATGTTATGTCGTTGCTCCATATAATCATTAGGATATGAAAAAGAGGGATGTTAAAGTGAGAAGTAAACGTGTTTAGAGATGCACAAGACCGACCAAGCTTTGACTGTAAAAAAACTAAAAAATAGGTCTGATCAAGATTTTTCATACTGGTTTTTCCGTGCCTTTTAGAACGGGCTTTACTCAAATTTGCAAAAAATAGGCGTAGCTTGGCCCTGGGACTTGCTAGGTACCGGTTTCTTTAACCTGTGTTCCGGTCAAAAGTCAACATGTGTTCTTTTTGTACGTCCCCTAACGAACCTACATGATATGTACATGTTTTTTTTAAAGTCGTTTTTAGTGTAAACGATAAAAAAATATTAATTTTTTTATCATAAAGAAAGCTTTTGGAAAAACTTGTTATGATAATACATGATCCAAGAAAAAAACTCGTTAATTTTGCAATAAAATTCAAACTCGAAATACATATAAGATGAAGACCATTAGACCAAGCTATATATCAATCTAAACCTAGTTAAAACGATTGGTCTGGTTTTTGGGCCCTAAATGATTCATATTTAGGGGTTGTTTGTTTATCTCTTAATAGTTATATTAAGAGACATCTTCTGAACCGTTAAAAGATGAATCTTGTTTGATAAAAAAAATCTGTCTCTTAATGATTTTGTATCATGCGCCTCCCTTAACCATTCAGTGCTCTAATTTAATTGTAAACAGTTACCAAACAATTGTATTTTATTTTGCACTATATCATGAGAGTCTCTTAATCATTCTGACCATTTAATCATTCTACACCAAATTATTCGACAACTACCAAACAGTACCTTAATAAATAAAAAGGCATTTGATTATTAACTAATATTTCATAATGAAATGAATTAACACGACGAAATTAAACATGATCTAAAAATATTTAAAAATTGAAAATGATTTTTATTTGGTTATATATTAAGCAAAATAATTTAAATTCATTTAAAAAAAATTTGAAATTAAACATTAATTTATAAATAAATATGTTTAATAGCCACATAAAAAACACATACACATTGATATATATAGAGACCGGTTCAAATAAAAATGTTAAATATTGTAAGAATGCAAGAAGAAAAGATTAAATAAATTTTCATATGAAAATCATTTGAAAAAATCTAAAAAAATTATATTTTTAAATAGATGTTACAAATTATTCACATCTGTTCACACACACACACATATATATATATATTAGATTTTTTCAGTATTCTACATATGAACCGTTATTTATGAAAAATAATTGATTAAAAAAACGAGATGGTTATGTTAAGAGATTAGACGACTCAACTTGAAAATTTTATATTTAAACGAATAAAAATAAATATATTTACATATATAATAGACTCGGAAATGTTAGAGAAGTGGTGACTTTGAAAATAAAAAGAAGTTTTGGCTAGAAATGCTTTTTGGCCAAACTTTTTTCTTTTTGAAGAATAAGTGACGAAATGCCCTACCTTTGAGGTGCAGTTTGAACTATTGATTTCAATTCATCTCTGACCATCAAATGAAATGTGAATAATCCGTTATGTGAAATATTCGGTTTTTTCCTCCATGTTATCAAAGGATTTCCTGCATCAATAGTTGAAGGGAATTTTCCCGCGAGGGTGAGCTAACTCCAAAAACCCGCCCTCAGTTATATAATATAGTTGGATTTATGTGAGACCGATATATTTTCGTGAGTCCGTGAGACTATTCTTTTACATTTGAAACTTCGCAAGAAAAACACTGTGAAGATTACCTTCACAACGTTTTGCTGTGAAGTTTCAAGTGCAAAAAAATAATCTCACGAAAACAATCTGACTTCACGTGATCCCAAATATATATATATATATATATATATATAATTATAGATAAAATGCATAAATTGGTAATGCATATAATTTTTTTTAATTTATATAAATTTATATTTTACCCCTATTATAAGCAATAAAAAATTAAAGATTGTATGAACTCATT